TTTATTTTTTAAAAAAAAATTATCGACTTTTTAAGAACCGTTTGCTTCTTTTTTAAAAAATAATACTCTTAAAGGCCATTATTAATTGTCAAATCCTGAGATTTAAATTGATTAAATTCTATCATAGAGCTAATTAAATATAATTATATTATCGTGGGAAGGATAGGACATCTTAAATAAAATGAAAAATCTATGACATAAACAATGTTTCTAAAATAAACATTTATATATATATAATAAAAATGTTGCAAAAAAATAATAGAGAAATTAAAATTTATATTTTTTTCCCCTTTCTCCTTCGATTAAACAATCAAAGTAATAAATAAATTTAGCCAAATTTATGTAGGATTCTATGATAAGTGCTAAAAAGTTTCTAATGTAATACACCTTTTTTTTTACAGAAGTTTATGGAAACTAGCAGTTTAATGCATCTTAACAAACAATAAAAAAAGTATATATATATAAGTATAAATTTCGAAGAGGTTTATCAAATTTACGACTATTTTTCTGTGTCCCAGATTTTTAACAAATTTTTAATATTTACGAAATATCTGATTTTTTTAGAATCGTATTCAACGGTGTCATAGGTGGTTTGGGATTTAAACCCCAACCAGACCAAAAAAAATACGAATGATTATGTCATAAATAATTGATATTCAGAAGATAAAACTCAGGTATGTTGCGTCCAATTTTTTCTCCTTCATATAAATGCCGATAAGACTATATTTACAAAATTTTGAATATTATAACTATCACATAGAGTATGTGCCCAAAAAAGTAGCAGATTAAATTTTCATTAATTGTGAATTGCAAAATTATTCTATTTCATATAGGTTATATTCTATTTTTAATTTTAGCACGGAGTAAAATTTATATATTTCTTCCTTGTGTATCAATATTTTATCCCACGAAAATTTAAAGTATAATTACTTCTTTTTAAACCCTAAACATTGATGTATATAAGATATATTAACCAAATAAATTCTCTTTTATTTATATCTACTTATTGCTATGAATAGGCAACATTTCTAGATGAATCAGATAAAGAAGCGGAATTTTATGAATAAAATTATTTCTGAAACTTCTTGTCTATAAGAAGAAAAAGACGCAACAAGCTTATCCAACAAGTTGTAGCCTTCGTTATCAAGATGTAAGCATGTTTTGATCAAGAAGTGCCCTTGGAAAAATATCAGAATGGCCTGACTTAAATATTTCATCTGAGGGTGCTACACTAGATTCAAGATGTCAGTTTTTTTTTGCTTGCATTGGAATGTATTAATAAATAATTTTATTATACAACAATTTTGTGCAATTTTTTCAAAAAAAAATTATATGGATTCTGAGGTTATGAGAATCTTGAATATGATTATATATGACAACTTGGAAAATTAAAAGTTAATATCGAATTGGCCAATTACTAGATTAATATGATCATTGAGGGGAAAGCAAAATTATGTGATTTTGAGATAAGTTTCGACTTGTACCTAAAAAATCTCTGTGGATTAATTGAGAATACTATGAGATAACCGTTTTCTACTTTAGAATATATTTTTGACTAAAGGAATGAATGTGATTGATCAAACGGTTTTATCTAATTTGCAAAATACTTGCCAAAAAAGCCATCTGAGAATATATTAAATCTTGACATGAAAAAATCAAATATTTAGCTAAATTTTAATAAGAGGATATAAATGCATCTACAGGCAATTTATTTCGAAATTTAAATCTTGGTATGAAAGATTAATTTTAGTAAATAATTTTCCAAGAAACACAACATAACATTGCATATTTTAAAATATATTTTGAAGTTTTTTCCAAATATATGAATCGTATATTTTGGCAACAATACCTATTCATACAAACACAAATGAAAGTATACCTTTTCTGCATTACGGAAAATCCTATCTCAAAAGTAAGATATCTTGAAACCGATTGAATGGAATAACTTAATATACATCGAGAATTAATTCTCAATAAAGAACAAATAATTGAAAAATTGGAGTATTTGAAAAAAAATTACATTTTCATTTATGAACTATATTTTGATTAATTTTTTAAATCATCATATAATGTTTAATTCTATAATATTTTTTTAACAATATTATATTCGCTATTAAATATTTTGTGTTTCAAAATTTTTTTATCATTTTTAATTTCAAATTTTCATTTTTAAAAATTATATAAAGTTCCTAATGCCATGTTAAACCAAAATATATTGAATGTATGGAATTGTAAACAATAACGAACACGTAAAATATTATTTATTTATAATGGTAAGAGAATGTGGCTGATAAAAAAAAAGAGAATATAATCAAAGACACGGAAACGTTAGTAAGCTAAAGAAAAATTACTAGATTCAGATGCTCTCCAGTTACGCTAACGGATTAAAATTATGACTGGAGTTTAAATTTTGAGGAAGCTATCATCGTGGCTATGAGATTAATATACTAGCTTTGGACAACTACCTCCTAACCAATTACGCAGAAAATGCTCATAAATATTAAGATGATGCGCTTTGTCCTGGCCCTGGAAAAATACTAGGTTGAAGCGAGTAGTTCAAGTAGGAATTAATAAATTTAAGCAGTTTAAAAAGATTAAAGTTGAAATTTGTACAACAATCAAAGCCTTAACAGAAACATCTATTATTATGATGATAACTTAAATGGAAAATATTTTATAAAAAATAGATATTTTAAATGTGACCATCCACATAAAGGGATTTGCTCAACCTTGATATACCCTTGTAAAATATGCTAAAATTTCGGATTCTTTATAGCCCCCCTCCCCTCCCCTCAACAAATCTCAAATAAATGTTATGGAAAATAATAGCTTAAATTTAGCTTAATACTACCAACCTGGCCCAAAGTAAGTCCATCGTAAGATTATACGGCTCAAGTATCAATTAATATAAAACAAATTTATACGAGTTAGACGGCCAAAAGTAACGGCTTGTAAAGAGCTTGGTGCTTATGATAATAATAAATTAGAGGTTTTGGAGATAAATTATGTTACAAATACAATTAAACCAATTATTACGAAAGGAGGTCTTAGCGCACATTTTAGATTACTCTAGTATTTTAGTTTTTTATTTACCCATCCCGATAAAAAAACTTAAGAGTACTACGTGCTCTGGATATAGTTGCTTTAGTAGGATGTTTACATACCTCAGAGGGAAAATTTCTTTAAAGAAGGTATAGTAGTTTTAAGTTATACTGTTAATAATTATTAGTCGAATTTTAATTAGATAATTCTACTAGCCTTATGGAAAACGTAGTTTTAATTGATATATTATTCCAGCAATGTGTCATTTTTTCAACTTTAAATTAATTTTTGAAGTGCTTTTTTAAAATTTAAAAATATGATTTTAGAGGAAATCTGTTTCAGCATGTTTATACGTCTATCTTATAAATTGTAAGAAAAATTTGATTTCTGGTAAAATCCCATTTTTAAATTTAAAAAAGTGGCTTAAAAATGATTCAAAGTTGAAATAATAACACATTGCCTGGAAAAACATATTGCATCTGACATATATAAATCGTTTATTTTGTTAAAAAACTTGTGTAACAGAATCTTATATGGTAATGTTTCCAGCTTTGTCTCCCCATTCTTTTTGGAGCCAGACTTATAGTCTTACAGAAACCTAAAATCCCACAAATGAAACACTTATCAAAATTGATTTTGTTAATGCGTACATCCCGCAACTCATTCTTGCATTCAGCGAGCTCATCATTCCCATGCTACACCAAATTTATCTATTCTTGCTACCAATTTCTATCAAATTTGTAATTCAACTCTCAAAAAATACTCTCAGTCGAGGTCAACAACGAGGTGATCAGGATCCCTTTTATATTGTTCAATCAATAATATAATTCTAACCATTAATTCAGAATGCTCACTTTCACTCCACGTTTGTTATATTAATGACAGAATCATTAGTGGACAACAATTGGAAAATTATAAGGCTGTACATATTATCAAGGAAATGAGATGCGCTGTTGGTCTCTCAACCCCAAAAAATCAGAATTTGTGCAGGTAAACTCCTCCGATCAAAATCCACACAATTTCAAAATTACCTCCAAGGAGAAGCTAACACATCTTCCCCAGTAGGCGGAATAATGGCAATCAATGCCTTCCTCCATTCTACTCTTGATATCCTTCTTAGGTTTGGTGACCTTCTTGATTTGCTACTCTCGCATAAATTATTCTTCCTTCTTGTTTAATATATTATACATTATGTTCTGGGCTCAGTGCCTATCTTTATATATCCTATCCCTCTCAGTATTTATGAAAAAAGAATACTAACCAAAAATATTTTGAATTCAAATTTCAATGAAACAGCATGGGCTCAAGCTTCATTATATCCTTAAAGCAAATTTTCAAAGTTTTAATGGCAGCCTTCTCTCCACAAGACCTTCGCTAGATTCACTTTTTCTTCCTATTCTTATTATTTTACACTAAATTTCACCTTTATATTATTTAATTTGGAATTTTATTTCGTATTTAAATTTTTTGTTGACATATTTTGTGATAAATAAAAATACTATACATGATAAAAATTGGATAAGATATTTGGAACCAATTTCAATATTTCAGAAATTAATATTTATTTTAAAATATATCTCATGACTAAATAACTTATTATATTATCTATTATAGTGTCCATCCATTTAAAAATAAATATTTAAAACTAAGATTTAACTAACCCATTAATGATTGATTATTCTTAACCCCCCTCCCCCGCCGTTCTCTACTTAATTAAATATGGCATTGATCTATATATAAAATAAATATTTTTCTATTAATATACCTGTGAAATCAAAATTTTTTTTAGAGTGTAATGAAATTATTTAATCAGCTGGAAGTTTTACTTAGAAAATCGTTATTTTTATTTATTGGAAAAAAAAATACATAAATATAAATATAAAAAATAACCTTAAAAAAGGTAGAAAATTTAGACAAAATTATATTTTTAAAACTAACATTTTAAAATTTAATAATATAATGCCTTATCTAATAAATATAAAATTACGTTTAATCGGCATATTATTTCCTTTTTCAAGATCTAAAATCGTTTCGGAACAAATTCATAATATATTCTTAATTTTTGCAGTAAAAATAGTTAATAATATATGTATTTTTTTTAATTAAATAAACACGAAATTGTTTTTTAAAAGGGGTAGCCTTGAGAGTGGGGAGGTAAATTTTTTTAAAGAGAATTTATATATATTTAGCAGCTGCAGAGGCAGAAATTTTGAGCCCAGTTAAATTTCCCCATTTTTGTCTGATCCCGTCTGCTCCACTTCTCACTACTATTAAGACTAATAGTAGACTACATAGGTGTAACCAAGATTTTACCAAGGGGGAAATTATGAAACTTCTTCCTTCATTCTTACCAAACTTTTGGGGTAGGATTTTGGGCGAGTTATCTTACTTTTAATAATATTCGCTAATATTTATTCTACACCCCATAGTGGTTTTAAATTACCTTAGGATTATCAATTATAGATAAGGAATATCCAGCATAAAGTGAATTAATTTAATAAATTATTGTGAAAACCATAAATGACCAATTTAAAATTAATTTTTAAATATAATTTGTTATTTTTTTTCGCTGAGAATGGAAAAGGGGAATTTCAATGGGAGGAGGAACATAATTCAAAAATTTCGCACCCACAAGGCTCTGATTATTTAATATATCCTCGATAGTTTTATAGCTTTCTTTTTTTACATATCAAAATTATTAAAACTTTATTGGAGTCGTTTTTTTAAAAGAAAATTAAGATAAAAAATGTTCAAATTTGGCAAAAAATAACTCAAGACCCTCAATGTTTATTTTTTTCAAAAAAGGGTTAGATGAGTTCCCATTATGTTGGACTTAGCTGGATGTCCGCCTTTTTTAAATCTTTATTTTTAGATATCCTCTTTTTAAAATCCCTTATCCTTTTTCCTATATTCTATTTTTATATTAATCTGCTTATTCTAATAAAGAAACCAATATCGAGTAAAAAAATATATTTATGGAATAATTAAAATTTATAAATATAATGAACTAAATATATATGTTGAATCGGTCCTTTTATATACCTAAAAATCTCATCTTCCACTGATAGAAAGGTAAATTGATTTTTTCTTGCAAATATAATGGCCATACTTTATAAAGTTTGGCTAAATATCTAAAAGGTACTAAAGTCTTTAATTAGTTTTACATTTGATAATCTATTGGATTTAGATCAGGGGTCTTGTGTTCGGAATATTAATCCTACCTTTCGTCGCTTTAAAGCTCGTTGTACTGCACGAATATTTCACTTTTACCTAAGAATTTCAGGAATCAGATTTTTCTATATCCATTTCCATGATTATTTTTATTTATCCTGTCAAAATATGTCAATTGGAAGCAAATTCCAAAATTTATCCCAATATTTAGTACATCCTTAGTTTCCATATGTACTTTAATCAATACATTATGGAACAGAGGAATATACTATAAAATTTTGGCCAGCCGTACAATTAAAATGCAATTGAAGCCATATATCTTGAAAATTTTATCAATGGGCTTAGTTTTAAATTTTAATTTATAAAGTTTGTCAAACTTTTATTAGCATTAATTCTAAAGTTTAGACCAATATGTAAGGCTTAACTGGTATACACTCTAGTTTAATAATTCACAATCCTTATAAATAGAAAAACTATTAGCAGAATAAAAAAAAATTCTAAAATTGGTATCAAGATTTAAGATACTAAAAATATAAAAATACTATAGCAATTATAATAAAAAAAATTTATTTTCATTATTACTTTTTAGAGTATTTTAAAATACTAAACTCGATATCTCTGGCTGTAACTTTGATACTTTTATATTTAATAGCAATATCATAAAAGTAGTCAAATAGACTTGTAGTATCTTTGGACAATGGGATATCAACAATGAATTAATTAACCAGATGATTCTTTACTCTTGGAGCGCTCTAAGATAGCGCCGTTATTTAGTTAGATAATACTAATACTATGAGAATACACTTGGAAATATAAAAGGTCAAACGCCGATTCCATATAAATTAAATTATAGCATCTTACGTACTTTTTAAATAGAAGAATAAATTTCTGACATGATTATTTTAGTAGGAATAGAAGTTAAAAATTACGGAAGGGGTTTTATAAATTTTAAAGAAATTAGTGCAATTTTATTTTTAGACATCAATATAAAAAGTCTTATGAAACACATAAAATTTTACCTAATCATATTTTCCATGGAGAAGATTGCAATTCCATGGAGAGGCTTTCAACAACCACTTTACGCCATTGATTGTTTTTAAATATATATTTTTTTTAAATCTTGCAAATATAACACTAAAATTAAATTAAAGATTTCCAACTCAGCATGATCTAACTATATCTTAGCCATGACTTAAAAATACACCTATTATTGTAAAGCAGCCATTTTTAAATAGCGTGCTATAAATTCTTGTCCGCTTATGTTCATAAATGTAATGCTATGAATTTTAAATCAAGTTTATTACCACATTCCTTATAAAGAGTGCGTCGCATACTACAATTTTTGACCCATGATTTTAGTTGAACATGAGTTATAACAAATAGGAAAAATTAAAAACCCTCAGAACAGTTGAATTTATTTTAGAAATTCAAGTTATTAGAGACAATTAAGTAAGTCATAGACATTTCTTGGCAATTAGGTTTAATAATTTATAAGAATAAAAAAAAACTTTCCCTAATTTGTAATGTAATGAATGATAATATTATATACTTTACTCACCTTTAGTATTATAAAAACGATATATCATTTTTTTTAAATCAAAATTTTTATATTTCTACAGTCTTTTTTGGGAGAAATAATAAAATAAATTGGCAATTCTTTTTATAATAAATGCCAACAGAATAACTGGTTCAAACCAAATAAAATACTGTTATTAAATATTTTTATCTTTATATGTATATTTTCTTATTCTTTTCTTTTCTTTTCTTTTCTTTTCTTTCTTTTCTTTTCTTTTCTTTTCTTTTCTTTTCTTTTCTTTTCTTTCTTTTCTTTCTTTTCTTTTCTTTTCTTTTCTTTTCTTTCTTTTCTTTTCTTTTCTTTTCTTTTCTTTTCTTTCTTTTCTTTTCTTTTCTTTTCTTTTCTTTTCTTTTCTTTTCTTTTCTTTTCTTTCTTTCTTTCTTTTCTTTTCTTTCTTTCTTTTCTTTTCTTTTCTTTTCTTTTCTTTTCTTTTCTTTTCTTTTCTTTTCTTTCTTTTCTTTTCTTTTCTTTTCTTTCTTTCTTTCTTTTCTTTCTTTTTCTTTTTCTTTTTCTTTTCTTTTCTTTTATTTTATTTTATTTTCTTTTTTCCTTTTCTTTCTTTTTTTCTTCTTAGAAAATCGATATTTTTACAATATACAATTCAACACATCTTGATAATATATTGGGGTCATTTAATTATAACCACGGTAAAAATTAGTAAATTTTTAAAATTATCCCTAGTAATAATTAATTTTTTTTTGAAAAAAAAAAATGGGAAAAAGAATGTTATATATATATAATATTATTTTTGGATAATATAATTTAATTATAGCCATAAAAAAAATTAAGTGAAAATTTTATTTTAAAATATTTCTTAAATTTCAATTTTGAATCAATAAAATTTTCATTCAAAAAATCTACGTTTACGATTTTAGTAAGAGTCATTGCTTCTAAATTTCTTAGGGAATTTGTTTATTTCCCATCAAACCTGTTCATTTTTTTTATTAACTACATCAAGACCATATGGAGGGGTGTGAGGATTCTAACTTATTAACTAGTGTTGTTAAACAACTAGATTCTTCCATTTTAATTTATGCTTTTAGCCAAAATAATATTATGCAGACCTCGAGACTTTGTTAATAGATGTTCAAACCTTTCTGCCATCTATAATCAAAATTTCCATGTATTTTAATCAACTGTTTGTTTTTTTTTATTCAAAATTTAATAATATTGTGACCAATTATTGTTTTTTTTAAATATTCAAAGATATCAAAGAAATCTGTTATATTTTGGGGTTATTCATAAAATTAACTAGGCTCTCAAAATATAAGCGGTTTCATACTTTTTGTCCTACGAGAAAAATTGGGGGAGGGGGTGGTAGAGGTTAAGATTATTTTTCTAAATATATGATTTTTTATAATTAGGAGTATTATATAAGATTGTATAACTCTTTGAGATGGTAAAATTTTGCACAGTTTTTTTCAATAAAACAAGATTTATTTGAAATTGTTTTTTTTCCAATTATAAATTTTACTGGGGGGGGGGGGGGGGGCTAGTGAAGCTGGCAATTTCGATCGTAAAATTAAAACATTTCGATCCCTTTTCATCATTTTTAAAATGAGATTTATCGAAATAAATCGATTAGTATAAGGATTGTGTAATAGGTTATAAATAATGTTGTATTCTCGTGAAGGAAGTTCGTTTTTTTAAAAATATATTTGTCCAAATTTTTTAAGAAAAAAGGGTGATTTTTTAATCAGCTGTTTCCATTATCACATTTGAATTTTTTTAACCAGCCACTATTTCATAGTATAGTTTATTAATTTGAATATTATTAATTATATTTTATATTAAGATTATCATGGCCCAAATGTAATAAATACTTTACAGTAACATTATATATTCAATAAACTAATTCTATCCTAACCAAATGAGTTTCAAAATCTTCAAGTTCTAATTTAAAGAGATACTTGATTGCAATATTATTATATTATAACTATAAGTATCCTGTTAATAATTTTTTTAGACTGTTGTATTTCATAGGCTTATAAAGTTATTATGATTTATAATAGAATAGATTCATAAAGTAAAAAATTGTTAAATATTATATTTTATATAAATGGATAATTAATATCTTTTAAAATTTATTTTTAGTGTGATTATTTGAAATTTTGCTATTATCTTTAAGGTTTTAAATTTTAATAGTTGTGCACAATTTAAAGTAATATAAATTTATATATTTTATAAATAATTTAATTTTTTATATGATATATAAAAGATTTTATATGTTAAAAATTAATAAGAAATTTTTTTTAATAAATAAAATAATTTTTTTATTCGGTTTTAACTCTTAATTTTAGACATGACTAATATATATCGTATAAATTAAATATTAAATAAAATTTTTGAAAAATATTTATTAATAAAGTTTTGAACGAACGTGAACACGTTCGATTTTTGTCAATGAACGATTAACGCAAAACGCGTTCGCTTTTGAAAAAAATGTTTTATAGCACTAGTTATAAATAAATTAAAATATGCAATATGCAATAATGAAAATGATAATATTAATCATTTGTTAAAAATGAATCACAAATAATTTTAAAACAATTTTGGTTCCTTAAAAATTTTATAATATCTTCTGGTTTCGATTTTATAAATTTTAAAAGAGTGTTCGGCAGGTGAACCAAAATAATGGTTCAGAAACTTTAAACCCAATTTAGCGTGCAATTTTTATAAGTGGAACTCATCAGACCCGATTTCTCAAAAGAGGTCTGAACCCGCCCAGTGTCTATGTTACCCCGGATTCTATGGGTTTTCCATAAATCGGTCCTTGTTTTTGGAACCCTGGTTTGAGTTCACATACCTAGTTGTTGGTCCTAGTTCCATTCCTAGATTTGTCTCAGTTTCGAGGGTAACGTTTCCAAGCTCTGGCTAAACTAATACTAGCTGGCCAAAAAAAGAGAGGTAGAGTTCCCAAAACCAAACTGACTTGATTTTTCAATAAATTAATATATTTTTTTTTGCATGATCCTTTATATATTTATCTTATATTGAATTAGAATTTTACTTTTAATATTTAAAATGAAAAATAAATGTTGTCAAACCCTTTACCCTTGAACCAAATTAGCTTTTGATGGTAATCTTTACATATGAATATTTTTTTTTATCTAGATATGGATAAAAAAAACATATCTTAGTTATTTAACCATGTAAATTTTGGTATTACTAATAATAAAAATTATTCATTTATATGATCGTGTTTAACTCCAGTCAAACTATCTTAAATAATACAAATTTCTTTAATTGTAACTATACTTTATATGGGTATCTCCTTAATTTGACCATAAATCACCACACAGGTTTCACTTTAACGGTTTGATTATATAATTATTAATTTTCAAAAAAGAAAGAAAAATTTGATTAATAATTTTTTAATGAAAATGTTAATTTGTCTGATATAAATGGTCCAAAAATTGCATATTCTTTATTTCTTTTATCTTTAGGTTTAAAAAATAATATATAAGGACATCAAGGACGTTTGATTTTAATTATATTTTTCAAATTTAATCAAAAATTTTGAATTTTTTTGTTAAATAATATAAAAAGACATGTAATACAATTTTAAAAAAAAATCAATTTCATAAATTATAAATTGAGATAGAGTTTAAGTAAGAAAGAAAGAAAGAATTTTTTTTTACCCTATTATCTTTATCTTTATAATTTTAATTTTTTTTTTCAACAGTTACTTTTTATTCCTTCAAATAGAATCTTAGGTAAAATGTGTATTTCATTTTATTTGATTGACAAATTCATATCGATCATATTATTTTTTAAAAAATAATATTTTAATACAGTTTATCTGAAATATATGTTCTTTCTTTTTACGCCAATATCTGCAAAAAGTCTTTGTTCTCTGGCATATTTTATAGATTGCTTCTATGCTTTTAAATTCAGAGTCTGAATGATACTCTTAATTGAATTTATAGTAACTGCGTGTGTAGGTTCTAATTAATGCATACTTGCCTCTTTGACGAGTTCTTTAAAATTTTTAAAGAGGCTGCGTTAAAAGCAGAGATAAAGGTTATAATTATAACCAAAATGAGAGTAATTAATGTTTGCTGGGTAAGTTAGCAACTTGCGAAAAAGTAAGTCACTTAAAACGTTGATGATCACTCTAATTCAGGCTAAGAAAAAGAAAAGTACGTCATGCTATATTTGAAAAGAATTAGCTATGTTGGAGTTAAACTTAGATGAGGGCACTAAAATAAAAAAAATGAAATGATGTTGTATAAGATTTACGTAGCTTAACCCTAATGAATAGATATGGTGATTGACAGAAAAGCAGGGAGGGCTAGAATTAAGGGAGTAATTTAACCATTCATATAAATGATAATATGAAGAGTTAATATTCGAATTAATTTGGCAGCTTTTCCATTCCGTTCCACAATTCATGAAAATTTCTATTTAGAGCTATCCGATATATCAAATCGGCAGAGATATTGGTCACTTTAGATAAAAATCGGGAGATCGATCCGATATCATTTAAAAATCGACTCATTTTTTTAAAAAAATAATGAATCAATTGCATAAAAAACTATGTTTTATTCCTGCAACCATATTTAACCATATTTATATAAAAATGAACGATTTTTTTAAAAAAAAGGATCAGTTTTTGAAAACATTTTCGATCTGATCGGTGGGAAAAATTGGGAATTGGAAAGTCATAATGACTAATAATTTTGTAATGGAGAGCAAAGGAATCTTTGCCAGAATGAACGTTCTCAATCCATTCCGCGTTCCATAATTTCCTCAAAGTTCTTATTCCCAGAACGTGTCCGGAAAGTTCCTTTAATGTCTCTAAATATAATATATTTCAATTATTTAAAATAGATGAAATTTAAAATTTAATTTTATCTCGTTCTTTTCCTAAAATGGGGGTATGATATAATAATCTCATTAGGAATAAAAATTTACATACTAACATCCCCCCTCCTCCCTCCTCCCCCCTCCTAATCCTAATTATTTTTTAACTTTTAACTTTTCTTTAAATACAATTACATATTTTTCAAATTATGTAAAAGTATTAGTGAGAGCTGTAAAAAAGCTAACCTCAGCCATGAGCTAAGGTAGATATTTTTTTAAATGATTTGTAAATTATTTCTGGTTGTATGGTGGACAAGTAGTGCTACAACAATGTCAAAGGGCAATATTAGTAAAACAAATCTACCACAGGATAATATTTATTATGATTTTAAACTTATTTGCTAATATTGAGTATGCAACTAGCGAAACTTGTGTTGCTGTGAAGGATTGTATGAAAAGACATTTACAAAAAAATATAATTGGAAAGCTTTTCCTTTTATGAGTTTTAGAGCGAAGAAATTAAATTTCGAAACAATTAACTATCAATATAATGTAATTTGCATAATTGTAAATTTATTATAATACAATTTTTATATTATTTAGTTTCTAGTGGTAATGAATATAAAGAAGATACCGCAAATTTAATAAATCACTCTTTTTACCTTACCTGTTGGGTAATTACTATATTTTTAGCCGTTTAAGTCATTTTTTAGCCGGTCAAAAAATCGGATAAAACAAGTTTTAGCCGAAAACTAACACTTTGGCCTCTGAGGTTTTCTTAAAAAGATAGCAGCTCAAATTTGAAAGAAATGAATATAAATTAAAACACATTAATGTTAACTAATTTTCTCCAGCAAGCGCCTGAAGATTGAGCCGATTCGCCAATATTGAGCCACTACCAATACTTACCAGTTTACTATATAATTTACTTGGCTTTTCAAATCTATCAATTTTTATATAAATAAATACCTATTAACCCAACCCATCTATGTACAGCCCGCAAAGATGAAAAATAAGATATTTGTCGAATTTAAAACTAGACTAAGAAACAGATTTTTAAAATATTTGACCAATTTTATGTGAGAGTTCCTGTGTCATCGGATACCCCATCCCTCCAATCTTAGTCAATAGACTTACTAATTTACATAATAATCCATTTTATTATCTTAAATCACAGGCTACATTTAGGCACCCATCAAACCAGCAATGAAAAACTTTCACCCATAAGACATCGGAGTTTTCTACTTGCTTTACCAGCTAACGTCATGAAGAAAACATCTAATTTGGGATAAAAAATAAAATAATATTATTAAAATAAGCTCTTCATTTGGAAGGAATCTTATGTTTTTAAATGTTATTCATTCTTCTAATCTACACCTCTAAGTCGGCGACATCAGTGACCACCCCATCTAACCTTTATATCATCGTAGCATCTGTAGTAGTGATATGCGTTATATCTCTGTTTATATTGTATTTGTTGATTGTAGCCTTTGCGAAATGTAGAAGAAAAAAGGGGAGTTATGATTCGATTGATAGCTTAGGAAAAAAAAGTATTATAATTTATTTATAGATTGTATTTATATAATTTGTAAAGTTTATTTTTTTTTGGGGGGGGGGGGGGGGGGGTGGAGGTTGAAAATAAATTAATATTTAAGTCATTTTCAGTTTTTTTAATACGGAATTTAAGGGGGAATAATACAAATATAATTTTAACATATATTTTTTTGGAGCAAAAAAAATAGGTTTATTATATACATCCTGAAAAAATATGAAAAATAAATGCCATTTTAAATGATTACATTTATATATTAAATATTTATTCGAGAAAAATATCCAATGATTTCTGCTGGAATTGCTAGTGATAAATCCTGGTTAAATCGTAATGGAAGGAAGAGGGCAAAAGGGGATGAATTAGAATTTTCCAGTACTAATAGTTCTCTGGAAGATTTAGAAAAAGTAAAGTTTTATGGATATTTATTCTCAATAATAACTTCTAAAATTTTCCATGTAACCATCAGCGGCTATATGGCTCTATTAAAATTCTATTATAAGTATATATTTTTTTTATAAAAAAAAAATTTTAAGTATAGTATATAAATTTTTCATTATATTTTCTTGCTAATTTTCATTTATACTAATAAAAAAAAACATTTTAAATGATAAAATAATTTTCGTAACAGATTCCTTTAAAGGCGGATTCGAAACTGAAATTTAGCAATAGTAAGTTAAAGGAATGCTTGACTAAGCCCTTCGAGGCATTATGGAACAAAGGAATTAAAGAAAAAATCCATAATGATGAATCTTGTTTTAAGCGCAAATATCAAAGGGGAAGCTTTTTCAGGGGTTATGCTCAATTCACGATTCAAATGGATGTTCCCAACTTAATCCTCGAACTAGAATCGAACCTGGATAAATGGCCTAATACCGGTTTATTTCTAAATATAACAGTTAGGAAATGTTGGGATATAACAAATCGTTTTTTTTCAAGTCCAATGAAAACTGCTGTATTAATTTCTATAGAAGACAAACTTAAACTCTACAAGCGCAACTCTTACGATGATCTAGATGCTACGACTAATGTTACAGATGGAACCTTATCAGTAACAAATTCAACCAGTCATAAAAAAAAGATGGTTTCATTCGCAGAAATGCCGTCATCGAGTCTTTCACCATTTAACCTTGTTAGAAAATGTTCACCCGCCAAAATATAGGTCAGACCTTATGGCAATCCTCAAAAGAGTCTACTATGAGTCACATGACCATGTGCACGTATCTTACGACCATCCAACCATAGATCGGGATCAAGGCAGCCAATCAGATGAAATCAACACATGTGGCAAAAAAGCGTCCCCAAATCAAATATTTTCACGCCATTTTTTCCTAACCAATATGCATAATTGTAAAAGTGATAGTACACCTACTGTATTTGACGAATGCGTGGCTTATCATTTCCCATTGATGGAAATAACTAAAGATGTGAATAAGGTAGCCAATGCTCAAAAGATGCTTAATATTTTGAATTCAGCGGATAATGATATTAGGAACAGCCTAAAAGATGATGAATTATTGTGGAAAGAAGGTAGCGAATGGCTAGAACAAACTGTTCAAGCCAGATTGGATCATTGCGTGTTTAGGTTGATCCTGTTTGCCAAAACCAAAATAGGGGGACTTAACGAAAATGGGGAGATTATCGTGAACTTAGGCCAACTGTTGAGTAAAAATTTTAAGTACCCATTGAAACTTAAATGGACATCGGTAGCGTCACCACAAATGCGTAACGATAGTATTAAACAGGGTACAGGAAAAATGGATGCTAACGTTAAAGATTGCAAAATTAATATGAGTTCCGTTTTTACACCCGACCAGTTTAACAACCCAATAACATTAACTAAGAAGCTAAGTTCGCGCACCAAGGTTATATTTAAATCTCTAAAATTCTTTAGCAAAAAATGGGCCGGGCTCTGGCTAACTTTTTTATTTTAATTTGAGCAGAGATTTGGCTTAATAGCAAATGGCGTGCTAATTTATTTTGGTTAAAATAAAATAATATTTAATTATGCGAGAAGGACAAACAATTATTAATTTTATTTAATGCGATTTCATTTATATTTTTCAATTAAAAATTTTAGGTTGGGCCCAATCTCAGCCCTAAAAATAAGTTAGTTGATGTTAATTTGGATAATGGCTCGATGATGTTAATAAAACTTTATTTCATATAGGAAACGTTTTCCATATTTCCCATCTTTTTATACTACTACTAAGAAATAAGTAAAATAAGTTTTTGAATATATATCAAAAAAATTTCTCTAATATTTTTTAAAATAATATTATAGTCATCGGAGATAAAAATTTATTAAGGGATATTAACAAAAAGATAGCGTATAAAAATTTTAAAATACATACTTAAACTCCTGCTTGCCCTGTCCCTACTTGAAATCTCAGGATTCTCTTGCTAGACTACTGAAAGGATATCACATAACAGGTAGAAGAGTTACAATGTATAGACTATTTTTCCTCTTAATCTTAAATGCTTAATTAATTATATATATAAAATTACAATAATTTGCAATATATAATATAGCCAAAAGGTCAAATTTTGATAACTCTACGGTACTTACCAACATCCGGACGTCTGCAAATAAATTTCGATAAAATTAGAAACATTCGATTCCCATTCTTCGCGCAAAATATTCAAGGTTTTGATAAGAATTAATAATATACATTATAAAAAATTTTTTTGTTAAGGGCTGGGTTAAACTTAAATATAATCTGTTTTCTCAAGGTTTATATATCAAGGTGTCACTCTGCTTAGACCGCAAACTGGTAAACATCAAGAAGACTCCAACTTATCATATAATCCCTCAAATACTGATGTACCAGGTGGTTAAGGATGGATCCAAGGAAAAAGTTTTAAACAGTGCCAATATTTCCAATAGCCCTCCTTCGTCCATATCTAATCGAAACAAAAAAAATATTTTTTTAAAATCGGGTGACAAAGATAAGGAAAAAATGCAAAATTCTAAAGAATTTGGCAGCGAGGAAATCGACGATGATAACTTGGTGGGAATCTTGAGGACGGATACAAAATCAAGCCTAGACTGCGACGACCCAGAAAATCACGAGGGATCTACAGTTAACACCAATAAATACTTTCTCATGCCCAATTTTCAGTTTCGGGAATACTCGTCATCTTCAGATAACGAAGAGGGCCTGGGAGACCAAGGCTACTCGAATGGCCCGATATTGAAGGACTTCGCCTACCGTTCAGAGATTGTTGAAAGTATATTTTAACATATTTTATATTTTAAAAAAATAAAATTTCACCCAGAGGTATAATGTTTCTTCTTCCTAAGATAAATAGTAATAACATATATTAATTAAATTTATACAATTTTTATACTTCTAAATTTTAATAAATTTTTTTTAAACGTATTCTTGCGGTAGGCAAAGATTTAACTAAAAAGATTAAAAAGAAGGAAACCATCAATGATGGTGTGCCTACACCTACCATGCTTTTCTTGCTCAACCCGGATGAACAGAGGCGCGCTACACTCTTCGCGTGCTTGGTAGCCCTAGATCCTGAAAACAAGGTTCAACTTTTTAGGAAATTTACGGTTGGTTCCGTTATTCTAGGCCCAAAAGGTAATACCACGAGTAGGGAACATTGGGAAGAAATAATTAAAAAGCTTAGAGATCCGGTTTCAAAATGGCATGACTTGATTTGAAGGATAGTGGAAGGGCAAAGTCTTCGAAGTGTTTATGAAGGACTAATTGAGACACTTTCTTATCCTTTTGTGTTTAATAACCAATTAAACCTCATAAATTCAGATAGCAATCTTTATATATATTTTACTTTAAACAATATCACTTATATTAAAATTTGATAAATAAATTCATCCTGAATTTGATTCGACCTTAATAATTTATAAAATAAAGGATTTTTTTTTGCTAAAGATTTCAAAAATAGATATCCATCACCTTTTTTTTAAAAAAAAAGAATAGTATGCCTTTAAATTATAACCTAAAAAATTATAATTTATAGAAAAGTTTTTTTTAATTCACATAAATATATTTATTTAATTAATAATTCTTATTTTATCTAGTTTTTTTTCATTCGTTTACTCCTCATTTTAATTTTTATCCCTTCCCTTTCTATAATTTACAACCAGCTGCAGATATGTAAAATGACCTACCTGTGTTAAGTTGAAGATAATATATATATATAATTATAAAAACTTTAATTAACTGCCTATTTATTATAATTCAAAATAAACTTAAAATGAGCGAAAATGATCATTTACTTCGCTATAATATAAATCGGTTATTTAATTCATTATAATATAAATATTTTGATCGCATTGTACATTCGAATAAGAACTTTATTAAAAACAAAAATATCGTTTTTTTTTCTATATTATTATTATGATTTAAGTTTCTTTATGTTTTCGCTTTTCGCTTTTTCTTTTTTTTCTTGATTTTATTTTCGGTTGATAGACCAGTTTTTCGGGATTCGCTTTTCTGGAATGTGGGTTTTTTCTTGTCTTTTATGGCGACGTTCTCTAGTTTCATAAAATCTTTTTTAAACAAAACTGATAGCAAAAAATATGTTGAGGTTATAAATGCAAAGCCTTACAAGATTCTTTTAAAAATTCCTTCTTTAAAATTTCCAAAATTTATAATTTAGTTAAAAATTTATTGAAAAATTATACCATTTGCTATAGTGGTATCATTAGAGTGTAGCGATGCGATTGATATGCCAGGGGAAGATGTAATATTCGAAAGCTTTTTGATTTGAGGCTTGGTGGTACCCAAGGATGCTAAGGCTAATACGTATTCATTTTCGTCATCGGCTTTATTTTTATTGTCGCCAATTTCAACGTCCGATTCAAGATTGTGGTAATCGTATTGCTCGAGAGGTAAAAGCTTGATCGCGTGAACATTTTTGGTTCCGATTTTATTTCGGGATAAAAGGGAAGGGCCTTTGTCGGTATTAGCGTCCTTGATGTCCCAAATTTTAATAAGATTTTCGGAACTGTGACAAGTTAATAACCTGGGCCAGTTGACGACTATGGATGAACCTTGGACAATTCATTTAGTTTTTTTTATAAAAACTTAATCATAAATTAAAACATTCATTATTTAGTTTTTCATTCAATGATTTATCAAAATATAAGAACTATAAAAGATGAAAAGAAAGTTAATCTATTTTACTATAAAAAAACAGTGAAAACTTTGTTCGATGTTAGGTGAGCTTTCTTCCACAATTTTTAAGATGTACAAATTTTTTTGGTTCTTCCCAACATTCCTGCAATCGTAACAAATCACGTATCCATCGTTGCATGCCAACTGATTTTACATAATTTTTTTTTAAACAAAGAAATAAAAAAAATGAGAAATAAATGGAAAAAGTTTTTTAAAAAAGGTAAATAATTCATAAATTTAAAAAAGGAAAAACTAAGAATTGATAGGGCTCATGATCATTCCAAGCCACATTTTCGATTTCCTTTCCTACTTTCCAAATGGGGTAACAGGATTCATTATTGCTCTTTATGATATTTTCTTGACATGAATAATCGACCCTGCAATCCATTAATACCGCATTCCTAAAAGAGAAAATGGTAATATATATTATATTTTGATGCGTTATAAAAATAGAAGGTTGCAAAAGGTAAATAATATTATGTATTAATCAGGGTTGGGTAGTATCGCGAATATTTGTATTTCGAATTTTAATATTTATTTGAATAATTTTTAAAGAGTATTTGTATTTTAGATTGTATTAGGTTATATAATAGTATAATCCATAATTTATATCATTAAAATTGTGCGATGCGAGTTAGAGAATAGAATCAAGATCTTATATGGTTCATTCTATTTTATTTAAATGAATTTCATACTGAAAATGAAATACTTTATTTAACCATATTTAGATGGATCTTCCAAAATCAATAATAAAGTATAAAGAACAGAGAACTATTTAAAATTGTTTATCATGTTTTTTTATTCCTCAGGGATCCTTCTATAACGAATATCGGTTCAGAATTAGGTTAAGACTAAAATAACAGTTCATGATAGAGTTCGAAAAAATAATCTCCGTTCGGTTTGAACCCTTTCGCATATAAGAGTATTAAAATTACTCATAAAAAAGAGAAGCATATTTTTTCTTAAAATTTTATCACTATTCTCTAAATTAAAATATTGAGCCGGCGGTTGCAATTAAAATAAGGAGAATTATATGTTTGAAGAGCAATGCTATACGCTAATTTGGATAGCTGGTGGGCACCATAAAATAGTCATTTTTAAAAGAGATAAAATATTAAAAATTAAGAAACCCGGTTCACAGTCTTTTAACGGTTTATTCGGTAAATAATAACCGTTAATACCGCTTTAATGGTTCGGTTTATATTACTAATTATATTAAAATTGTCTGGTTGCAAATTTTTCGATATATTATTAACAAAATTTTTAAAAAATGGTTAATAAAAAATATCCTTAGGTGAAAAAAATTATTACTAAATCTATTACTAAAAGGCATTTGTACATAAACACTTTTTTTTTTAAATTTTTTGGTTCTTAGTACTTATATAAATTAATTTTTTTAAACGTATTTGTATTTATATTAAATACATTTTTTTTGTAAATTTTCCTAACCCTCATAATAATTATTTTTACCAATATAATTTACAAACGTTTTTAATTTTAAAAATGACTACTATATAGCATTTTTGAAAACGAGAGTGAAATGACTTGAATAAATATCTGCGCCAGAATATTGACTTAGAAATGTGAAAATCAAATTTTTTATAAATCCAAGATTGCTTAATATCTGACCCATGCATTCTTCCAGATAAACACCTGTATTCTGCCCTCGAGCTCTGGGGTGGCAATAAATCTTCAATCGACCCTCTTTATGTTTGCAGAAAGATGGGATTTTCCTTTGGTTGAACGTTCCCTCGTAATTATATTATCGAGCCTACAACCAGAAGGATTAACTAACTTTCGATTTGCCAGAAAGTGGCTATGTGGATTAAAGCTATCTCCAGCCAAAATCTCGGTCTTCATCTATCTCCCGAACAATTAAGAATATCAATTGGTCTTTCTTACTGGTTGCAATATCGTTTCTTCTTTCAACTGTTCTCTTTGCAACATAAGAGTTGAAAAAAATGGACACCATTCATTATACTGCCGATTCTCTAAAGGCCACCATCCTAAGCATAGCTTATAATATTCAAAATAAAAAGAGCCAACATACTCACCCTCAAGCCCTAGGCCTCAATATTTTCGATGTAGGACAGATGGTATACTCTTACTCCCATGTGTAAGGGGTATCCATCTCGCTTGGGAATACATATAGACATATTCGTGAAATCCATAAACCATGAAAACTCTATTTCGGTGGCTGAAATAAAAAAACAAACAGAGCCAAACCATATTAAATTCGTTCTTGTTATCTTAAACTTCGGCCACCAGGTGTTTTCCTTCCTGGAGGAGATAGAAAGAAAACTTATCTCCAGGAGATCCTAAAGAATATTTCTATATTCGCCAGAACATTGGCTTAGAAATTTGCCGCTCAAATTTCCTAACAAATCAAGGATCCGTAAAACCTATTATCCATCATTTATAATAGTATTTTTATATCATTTAGTTCAGTATTTTTTTTAGAATATATTTACAGTTTTTGTTTCTAGGAAAAAAATTTTTTTAATCATCCCACTCCATAACAAATTCCTACACGTGGGTCTGATTCATAGAATCTATTCATATAAAGAATAAATATGAATAATGTAAACACGAAAAAAAATAATTGATTTCTTACCCATCTGATGATCCACTGAGTAAAAGGTTGGATTCTTGCGGATGCCAGGCTATGCTATTTACCTATAAATTTAAGTTATAAAAAATAAACAAACATTACATTATTATTTGATGATTTGGAAATTTTTCATATTTTCTTTATTCCAGAGACATTCTAATAAAATATTTTCATTATGAAATAAAATGTACGAATAGTAGGAATTTAAAGAATAAAGGCTAACATTAAACAATATGGTGGTAATATTAAAAGGATTACTCTCTCTCAACTCTACACAGGTACCATGGTATTCAAGTACTTTAGGGAATATTCATTCATTCATTCGAATTATTAAGCTTATTTCAATAACACCTTCATTTACAATGTTAATCAAATGATTTAATTTTTAAAAAGTTGTAAAAAAATAACGTGTCCTTTATTTACTTTATCAGTATGATACTTGTAATCCTGCAATTTTTGTCCCTCTTTTAAATCCCATAGATTTACATATCCGGTAGAAGTACAGGAAGCCAAAATTTGTGTCGCCATTCTATTCCAAGCTAGGGATAAAACTCCTTTATATTTTTTCTTCGTTTTTTTAAAGACAATAATACATATGATATATAGGTACTGCTCATATTTTAATAAAAGTTTAATTTGGCTTTCTTGGTTCTTAGCTCTTCATAACATAGAATTATTCAATTTTTATTTTCTTAAATAAATGTTGATAATTAAAACTTTTTTAAAGTTTTTATCCAATAATTTCTTAACTATAAATAGTAGGGTTCTTTTTAGAAACCCCAACTAATTTGTGGGCTAATACTTTTGCGTGGCGAATATTTTAGTTTATTTTTAAACCAATTTATTATTTATTTTTTTTAAAAAAGAAGGGAAAATAACCTTTTGAATCTTGCCACCTTTATGTTTAAGGGTAAAATGAGGTTCGAGAGCCCCATCTATATCCAGATCCCATATGTCTATGAACGACTTCATATTTCCTACTGCTAAGTAATTAGCTGATTTGATAAATTGTAAAATTTATATATGAGTTGAGTACATAAAAGATAGATATTTTTGATATAACCATATTAATAAAATTTAGTTTGTGATTGTATTGGGATATGGAATCCATGGGGATCCGAAATAACTAGATTCTAAATCATATATTCAGGGCGATTTTTGAAATCAATATTTAACCGGAAATTTATTCTGACATGCATAGAGTTATCTACCCTATAAAATTCAAACAATTTTTGCAATATTTTTTTAAAAATTTATATGAAAAAGTACATAAAATCAATACAGATTAAGAGAAGTTTTAAAGGTCACGGCAAAATTATTAAAATTCACAGCACGGGTACTCTGATATATGCAAAGCATTTCCGGTCAAATCAGATTTTTAAATTTTAAAAATCACACTCAATGAATGATCCAAATCCCCATTTCATATCACAGTATGACATATATATCAGAGATCTGCAGAGGTACAATTTGCACGGCCGGCCCGGATTTTTCAAAATATATTGTTCATTTTTGATTTTTATAGCTAATATGGCGATTTGAAATATTTGATTTTCAAATATACGGCCCGGCCCGATGAGAATTTATTTATTGTTTGAATGTTTTTTATTTCTAGAAGTTGGAACCAAAACCATGAACTAGGGATGCACCGATCTATTATATCTGGCCAATTCTTTGTCTATTTAAAAATATTAGTTATCAGCCAATACGATTAAATGTTTACCGATAGATACGATAAAAAGAAATCTTATTTTTTTTTTTAAATTTATTAATATTTAAGAAAATATATCTATGCATAAATTAAGAACATTCTTTTATAGTAATTGAAATAATTTTTTTTTAAAACTAACAAAATAATTGATAATATTAAGAATATAATAAAATACATAATTTATTTTTAAAAGATACATATAATTTTAAAACTTAAATCATTTTAAAATAATTCTAAAAATTAATATTGATCATGTAAAGACTAGATGGGATTATAAATTCTACATAAGAAAGAATTTTGGAATAAAAAAAGATAATAACGATTTTACTATATACGAGCAGAAAGCCCGTCAGAATGACGGGGGTTCAGAATTTAATCCTTAATTTGATGATGGTTGAATCCGAATAACCCCATTATTAAAGGAGTTTGAAAAAAATGATTCCCCATCATTGTCACCAGAGCTCTCGCTAGTCAGTATTGCTGTTCGCTCCCCATCCACAGTGTGAAGGTGGGAGACGGATTTATGAAATATAATAATTGTTTATACTTTAAGACATAACGAATATAGGGTTTCGACACATGTATTTGTAACCATATAATAGGAGAAAATAATATAACAAAATTTATAATATCAAATATTTTTAGGTTTCAAAAATTTTGATAATCATATCGCCAAGTTCCCTTTTGTTTGATGATGATGTAGTCTTTTCTTTGCCCAGAACATGCCTCTGAAATTTTAACAAGGGTAAAGAAAGCATAATATAGAATTTAAGGTGAAGATGTCTTCTTTTCTTTGCCCAAAATATGTCATATTTGAAATTTAATAAGGGCGTAAATTGTAAATATAAAATAAATTTTTTTGCAAAAATAAAAACCTCATTAATTTGTAGCTGCAGAATTTAATACATCCTGATATATGACATTAAGAGTAAATACTCTATTATCAATCAAAAGTATGCCCTGGTGCTTTGTAGGTTAAATTTTAATTTTCATATATTTTTAAAAATCTGCAACGTGTTAGAGCGACATAGAGCTGACAACGTGAAAACACAAGTTGAGGAAGAAAAGGACTTGTCGAATGTTTGGCCTTAACTTTTGTTTATAGTTAACAATAGTAAGAATAATAGGAAATTGGCGTCTTTTAAATATAAAAGGCAACCGGGAATCGCTTAGGGATAGATAAATTCGAGGAATAAAAACGCGATGGCCATTATGTGTCCCTGTTAATATTTCAGAATCTATGAAATTATCATGTAAATTTTTGATAAGAAGGCGTACTTGCGTATAAGCCTCTGCTGAGATTCATATTACGAAGAAGCATTATTATTGTCCCAACTTTAAGATTTAAAATATAAGGAGGCATTGCTGATGGGATTTGAGAATGAAGAAATTTAATGGGCTAAGTAAATTCTCAGGATTATCGGTTTCTATAGAATCAGCGCTATAATATATCTTAGAATTTCCTGGTAGTTTTTGATGATTTCGTTAAATGAATTTAGGGCTATGTTATTTTTAGTGGTTAATATAATTTTTTTTGAAATAGGTTAATCACAGATATTTGTATTGCGTTTCAATATATTGAATTGATTAATAAAGTTTCTAATAATTAATTTAGGATTTCAATAGAATCTGAAGGGAGTAAAGGATTGTAATCATTTGATAAAGACTGTCCAACATTCAAAAGCCAAGAATTATACTCAACATCTTCAGAGGATAACCGCATATTTTCATTCAGATGGACAACTTTTAAATAAACACATAATCAGAAGACATAAGACACGATTCAATTATATCAGCTTTTGAACTGTTTGGAATGACAGGTAAATTTGCCAAAAATCGTCGCCCAATAATATAACTTGACCACCGATGGGAACTGTGTTTGCATTATATCTTTAAGTATATACAGCGTAAATATAAAAAACAAAGATGAGCAAAATCATTATTTTCTATAGATTGAACGATTAAATCAAAGGATGTTTTTGTAAAAAATTTAATTTAGAAATCAGTTCCATTGCTTCAGCTGTCTCAAGATCAATATTAAAAATATCATTCTGAGCTATTATAGTAGGAACAGGCAAATTAAAATTACTACAATGGAAACCATGGTCATGCATAACTTTTTCTATATCTGATAAGGCCATATTAATTGCAACAGAATCTGTATGGGTATGTGCGGTATATTCTATCTAAATTTTTCCCAGAGGTTATTTGGATGCTAACAAAAAATACAATTAAAGGCAAAAGATTGACACAACTGTATGGACATTAAAATGTTGACGTTTCTTTCATAAGTGTTTCCCACTCCTTGTCATCAACCAATCTTTTAAAAGCCGAATTTTTAAAAGCATTCAAAAAACTCTATTTAAACTTCTCAAATATTCAATTTCTGACGCCAACAACATGAAGTAGTAATAAACGTAGGAAAAATATTTTGCAGGATTTAGGATCAACAGCATCATCCTTGAAATTATATTATTTTGTCTTTGTCTTAGTTTCCACTTATTAGATTATATTATTTTGTCTTTGTCTTAGTTTCCACTTATTAGCACTAACATCATTTTTATTTAGTTCAAATCAGGCAGTTTATGTAGTATTTTTGCTAGCAGATTTTTCTATGCCTGACGTTATTGTCCTTCTATAAAATCTACCGGTTGATGAAATGGCAAGTGTATTGCTAATCGAATCATACAGTGAGATCGATGATGCATTCGATTTTTTAATAATTTCCAAATGGCCTCCTCACATGCACTTACATATCGGGCATTTGTATGCATTCTAATTTCATCATGAGATTTAAGCGAATTAGTTTTAAGATCTATACAAGCGCAATCGTATCCTTTGTAAACGTACTTAAAAATATATTTGCCGGATTTTATTTATGTATATATTTCAACATTTATGTGTGCATTAAACTTTAATAATAGATATTTGTACAAGGGATGACCTATCGATTATCGACTGGCTTACTTCCCACGTGAATATAACCCTTATCTCTACGTTGATAAAATGGATATCCATTCGCATTGTGTTGAGTATCTTTTTGAAAATCTTTCGGAATTTTTTTTGTACATGAACCATTTCCCATGCATGGTGAGTGAGGATTCAAAATACCACAGGGTCCATGTATCACAAAGTGACTTACAATATCATATAATCGGGGTTGGACATTTTTATCCGGGATTTCAACTCGAACAAAATTATTTTTACATTTAGCTGTTTCGCTTTTATTATTTTCGCGTAATATAATGAGCCGGTGAGCATGAGTTAATCCTCTCTTTTGAAACTCTGTGGTATAAACGTATGCCAAACATTTGCCAAATAAATCTTTTTTAATAATATCAATATGTTGCTGATTCTTATCTCCAAGTGGAAGCTAATAATTTAAATTATACAAAATTAAACCAATCAAAATTACGTGCAAAGGATTATTTAGATCTTATGGATCATATTTCAAAAGCATATAATACTAATTTTCCTATAGGAAGAGCCATTATTTTGCTTTCTTCATTTCAGGTCCTATAGAAACATTCGTGAACGATATCATGACGCTATGGCAATCGTTTCTAAGTTGGATAAGCCATAAATTTACATGCAATCCCAATTTGAAATTAAAGAAAATCTTTATAAAGGCCAGAACCCTTCATATAGAACTTTTATTAGCCAGAGTTTTTCATTTAAAAATTGGAATTATTACACGATATTATTAAAAAAGATTTATTTGGCAAATGTTTGGCATACGTTTATACCATAGAGTTTCAAAAGAGTGGATTACCTCATGCTCATCTGCTCATTATATTACGCGAAAATAATAAAAGAGAAACAGCTGAATGTATAGATAATTTTATTCGAGCTGATATCCCAGATAAAAATGTAGAACCCGATTATATGATATTGTAACTCGCTTTATGATACATGGACCCACTGGTATTTTGAATCCTCACTCACCAAGAATGGAAAATGGTTTTGTATAAAAAATTTCCGAAAGATTTTCAAAAAGATACTCAACACAATGCGAATGGATATCCGTTTTATCAACGTAGAGATAAGGGTTTTATTCATGTCGGAGGTAAGTAATTCGATAATAGATACGTCATCCCTTATAACAAATACCTAATATTAAAATTTAATGCACACATAAATGTTGAAACATGTATATCAATAAAATCCGTCAAATATATTTTTAAGTACGTTTACAAAGGATACGACTGCGCTAATATAGATCTTAAAATAATTCGCTTCAATCTCATGATGAAATTAGAATGCATACAAATGCCCGATATGTAA